AAATATTATCCATGAAGTCACTTCAATCACTTTCAAAATACCAATGACATTTTTATATAAAAATAAAAAGTATCATTCTAAGTTGACATGGAATTACAAGAAAACAAACAATGGAAGAAGAAAAATACACTGGAAAGCACCACATTTCCAGCTTTCAAAACCTCCTCAAACAACACTAACAAAGACCCAGTGGCACTGGTTTAAAGGAAGACACACACAGCAGTCGAGAAAAATGCGGGATCAGGACACTGATGACCCACACAGAAGGAAATGATGCTGCACAACCAGGGTCATTCAAGGAAAAAAGGACATGCAGGGAAATGAATGGCCAGGAAACTGTGTGTTCATGTCAACGCGTGAAGTCAGACCCTCCCCTCACGGCACGTGCCTACATGAAATCTACATGGACCAAAGCCCTGAAGATGTGAACCTCATCCATTCTTAGAAGACAATGCAGAGCACAATCTCACAACACTAGAGCACAATCTCACAACAGTGGATTTGGGAATGGTTTCTGGGATATTTTTCCATCCATGTGATTCATGTAAGAATAGATGAACTTGATTTCACCAAATGGCTTTCAGTYSTRTSRTTTGCAGCAATGAGAGTGAAACTTTGGACACCACACTGAGTGGAACAAGCCAGGCACAGAGACATCTGTGTGTACAAACTCAGAGAAGCTGCAAGTTGAATTCAGAGAAAGTACAAGAGTAGTCACCAGAGGCAAGGAAGAGAGGGGAGAAGGGACAGGGAAGGACTGGAAGAGCAGACTGTGTATCAGGTACTAAAATACACTCAGATGGGGCCAGCAGGACTGCTCTCCAGAACAGTAGAGTGACCAGAGCATGTAGTGCACAACATGTCACTGTGCATTTCATAATAAAGCAGGGGGAATAGTCCACAGACACCCAGAAATGATAAATGTAAGGGTCAGAAGGGCTAAAGCCCTAATCTTATCATGACACACTGGAACAGATGTGCAACTAGCTCACTGCACCTCATCCACATGTGCAATTTAAAAGCGAATCAACACTAAAGAGTGAAAATTTTA